TGGTATTACGGTATATTGCCCAGGCCTACTCAGTAGTGCAAGGCATACAGCCGAGTATACTTGCACTGTATATCTTGCAGGAGATTTAAAATATGCAAATGAATACTAAGTGTTGTGAGATCTTGTTTAAGGAGATAAAGTATTCATACTTTTCTTATAAAAATATGCATTAAAATTTTTATTTGTAAGTTAGCTTGGCAACCCACTTTTTTTTTTTTTTAATTTGTTTGTTCTCCCACTTTGGTTGCCACAAAGTTTTTTTTATGTTTATTTTAGTTTGAAAATTTTTTTAAGATGCCAACTATCAGATCAAGTTATAAATGGTCGTGCCAGAATAATAAAACTGTCACCCTGAACTTTTTGAATTATTGGTTGTTTTATTAGAGAACTAATTTTAAAAAATTACATAATTATTTCTCGTACTATTTTATTACAAATTCTGAAATGTTTTTCTTCATTTTTTCAGTGGCTAAACCTTATATTAGGTTAATTTGGATCGTTTGGTTAAATTTATCCACCGCTTATTATTATTATATTTCAGATGATATTGAGATTGTATTCTTCAGTTTAGACAAGGATCAAAATGAGGATTGGAAAGAAAATGCAAAATTCCTTCCTACTGATGTCCATCATCAGGTTTTTAAAAATATTTCAACATAATTTTGGATTTTTGATATTTTCTTATGTTTTTTAACTTCTGTATCTAAAATAAAATAAAGAAGTTTATTTCTATTATTTATATTTGAAAATAACCTGATTGTAGCTATTTATTGTCATGAATATTTTTTATGAAAATTTTTGATAAAATATAGTCTTATTTTTATGCTATCAAAATCTTGTTTTCCATTAAATACTTACTATTTTTTATTATTTTATCAGTGTTAATGAACAGTCACATTTTTGGCTTTTAATGTTTATCTTATTAGCCCTATAATATTGAACTTAACTTGGTAAATAAAGGAACTCTGTGTTTTTGAAGCATTGGGACAAGCTTACTTTCAGAGCAAACTTTTTGATTAAAAAAAACCTACATGTATCTACATTTTACCTAACCTACATTTGGAGGTCTCATAATTAGTGTAATGGTAAAAAAAAGTTTCACGCATGATATATCTCTCCCTAGGAATCTTTTAACCTGGCTCTCTGGTTGGTTCAAGCTGAGAGCAGTATTATAATGGACCAGCTGACAACAATAATTAGAGTATTTACCAATTTTTGTTGTTTACATGGTCATATAGTCTACATCAAACATCTTAAATTTTGACTTGAACATGAAATATGAGTTCACAATCAAGATATTAAACGATTTTTGGTCAGTCTACATAGCTGAACTTCTAATCAAAAGATTTAATTTTCATTTGCTAAAATCATTCAACAGCACTCCTCGTCAACTGGTTTAAATTTCTAGGAATCCTTTCTTGTTTTGAAAAATTCTAATAATTCTGTAATGACCTTTCTAGTATTCCATTATTATTTCTAAACATTTAAAAATCTATTTTCTTTTAATTTTTGCATCTTAGAATATCTACACTCTATATTTTCATATCTTTTTCTTATCTCCCAATTTTAATTTAATCCTCTTGTTTCCCTTTCTTATTGATTAAGCTGTTTTATATAACTTATTTTTAATTTCTATTGCATCTGTGTTTTCATCTTTTATTCTATGTTTCCACGTTTAAGTTTCTTCAATATAGTGTAGAAATTATCCTTTATGTGCCAACATTCTTGTTGTTTTAGTTTTATTGCAAAATTATATATGTTCTAGAAACATATTGGATTTGTTCTATTACTTGTTCAAAATAAGACCTTAAATAAATGTTAAAATAATTTACACTAAAAGGTTTATGGTTTATAAATTTATCTAAGTAATTATTATTAAAGTAATTAATTTCATTAATTTATTTCATTGTAATATTAATAAAGGTTTTTATTATAAAATACATTGCATTTAACACTTGCCTAATAAAGTTTGAGGATATAGAAAATTTATGTTTTATACACTTAAATACAAAAAACAAATATTGATTTTGTACTTTGTTTCATTCCCTCTTATAATCTATGCATCATCAACATTTTAACTTGAGTAATATTTTGGTAGGTTGCTATATATTTCCGAACTCCTCCTTTCAAAGAGAATATTGATAAAGATGTTTTCATTCAACTTCGTAACAAGTCAAATGGAATGAAAAGTAATGAAGTGAAATTCCATTATTTACGTTGCCACGGTAAGTGAAAGTACTGTCTAGAGTAGAAGATTTTTATAACCCAAATTTTGAAACGAGAATTTTATGTTACATAGATTATTTCACATATTGTTAAACTTGTCGACCAAGTATGTTAATCTACAGCATATGAATACTAATGCTTTTAAATCAAAAGAATTTTAAGAGGCCAAAATATAACAGGGATCCCATGATCCTTAAAAACTGCTTAATTTTTATTTGGGAAAGTAGGAGCCCTTAAAAGTACTTAGTTTTGGTGCAAGGTTTTAAAAGTCTTTAATTTTTCAGTATCACTATAGTTGATAAGAACAATTTTTCAGTTCAAAATTTTTTTTTCAAAGTCGTTCTTCTATCACCTAGAGTTAGACCATGCATTGAGGGTAGAGCTTTTTACAGAGACTAGCCCTTTGTAGCTATATGTACCTGAACGCTGTTTGTGAAAAATTTCTCACTAGCATGGAAATTTTTTTTAATACACATTGTAAAAACAAAGAAACTGCCAAAATTTCTCAGAAAATAAAAAATTTACAATTTTAGAAAATTCAGGTACAGCAACAAGAGATTTGTTAATCAATAACTAGATATATACCTATAAAAAATTGTTACATTTAAAAAAATTATATGCTTATATATCTAATAATAATTAGTATGCAATTACATAAAAATTATACACTTTTAAAAATATAGCGATTTTCAAGTAAATTTTGTCAAAATAAATAGAGAGAAGAGGATTGAAACTAGTTACAAGAGTCAATAAATTGCTTGCCAAAAGTTTTTTATTGAGATTTTGTGTTAACTGAAAGTATCTCTTTTTATATAAGTCTGCAGTATCTTATAATTCGCACCTATGTTCAATATTTGGTGTCAGAGAAGAATTAATTTTAAATTTGAACTTTTAACTGTTTAACTTTCATCAAAATGCAGAAAAAAAGAAATCAAAAAGTTTAAATTTTTGCTTTGACGCCAAAACGAAGTTTTTATAAAAGATGAAAAAAAAATATATATTTTAGGTGATCTCTAATGCATGACTCTTGTATGATCTCTAATGCATGACTCTTGTATGATCTCTTATGTATGACTTATATGAACATGATTCTTCTATCTTTTAACTTTTTTTAACTGTACCATCTAATCCAAAATAGGTAATATTTTTTAGAGCTGTAAAATAAAACCATTACTCTGCATATGATTTTTTAATGCTGCAAAGTTTTATGATAAAAAATTTTTTTCAATAAATATTGATTAAGAAATAATAAAAAAGAGATACAATTTTATGTTTTTTTTCTCTTCTACTTACGTTTTTGCTATTAATGTTTTATTACAATTAAAATGATATATTTTTATAGAGTTGGAACCAGAATCCATAGTACAGCAAACAAAGAAACGGAAAAGACTGGACCTCCCTGAAGGTGACCTTTCTATGTCACTGCCAAGTTCTTCAGAAATTGAACAAATAAAAGATTTTAGTGACTTAGAAAGTTTGTTTTGTTTTATTTGTATGTCTAAAGTTATACATAAAAATGGAGTGTTTTTATTATTAAATCTGAGAATTTTATACTTTTCAACTGTAATAGAAGTCTATTTATTAATTTTCTTTTATGCAAAATGGTTATTGAGATGTGTTTTCTTATAAAATTATAAGTTAATATTAGTAATATTTTTTCAGTAAATAACTTATTAGAATAGAAATGTTGTCTATTTAAATTATGTATTCAAAATTGTCATTTAACATCTTCTTTTCATTGCAATCTTATTGTTTGGCATTTTTGTTTTACATATGCAGCTTTTTTTCCAGTGTCAGATAAGTGCTTTTACTCTTATTTCAATCTAATAATACTAAGATTTTTAACATATGTATTTTCACTGTTTTAGGTAATTGACTTTTGTTTAAAAATGCTTTAGATTTTTATAGATTACTAACTAAATACCTGTTATTAGGGGCTGAAAAAAAGTAAGCTATCAATATATTAATACTAAACAGCACTTCAAAATCATGAACAAAGTTAAAAGACGTATACCAACAATGAATAAAGCTAAAATAATTAAATTTTTATTTATTATATTTGTTTTTCTAGGTTTCGTTACTTTATTGAATTAAGCAAAATATGTTTTTAGTAATTCTTCCTTAGTAGCTCTTATATGAAGATTTACAGCATTCAATATCATTTGACATGATGCTGTTGCTTAAAGCTAACTGATGATAGTTAAAATTTACCACATTCAATCAATTTTCTTCTTGTACTTATTTCTTTAGAGGAAGAATAAGGCATTTAAAGCTTCTAAGTATTGATGCAGTTTTAAATGGTGTCAAATATATTAACATAATACATGGTACCTGTTTAGTATATTTGGTATCTAATAAAACTGGACTAATCACCTTAATAGTGTCCATGACCAAAATTAGTTTATCACCACTGGTGTCAAAAATAGTATAGCCATTTTATATGTTTCTCCAAAACAAATTAGCATCTTTTCCCCATTAATTTTGCTTTTTAAAAAAGTCTAATCACATTAATGTGACCATCTATCAAAAGTTAAAGTAACTACCTACCTTTCGCAAAGGGATTGCTGAGAAATATTGCGGAAGAGAGCCAATTGGATTCTTGAAGGTGTTCACTGAAATGTGGAGCCATGCAGACTTTGTGCCGTGGCCAGCTGCACTAGGTTACACAGTTGAGAATTTATGGCGCGATCAAGGTGGTCTCAGGGATTCTCAATTCGATTTAAGTTCAGGGAGTCTTGTGATCAGGATAGTTTGGTAAACTCATCCTGGTGCTCATCGAATCATGCATGTACATGCCAATTTATGTGACACATCAGAAAGTCCTGCTGGTAGATTCCATCATTCTGAGGAAAAACAATTCACATCTAGGGGTGTACATGGTCTGTTGGAACAGTTGTACCATCTTGTCATCCACAATGATGGGTGAACTCTGAAAATATTATGAAAACATTCTCCAGGCCATAAAGCTCCCTCCTCTAGCTTGGACCCTTCTAGCAATAGTTTCCTTCTGGTTTAGCCTTCTTTGAAAAATTTTATGCCATATATGCAAGCATTCATTTATTCAATAGAGTATAAAACATATTCAATGGAAAAAGCCACCTGTATCCACTCAGTTAACGTTTAGTTGTTGTACTGGCATGCGAATTCCGGCCTTAGTCATTTATTTTATTGTATATATTGCATACACTGCATTTCATAACATTGTATTATATGCACTAAAATTGGAGGTATGGCAATATGGCTAATGGTGTGATAATTGAAATGTTTAGTAATGTCTTTTGCTGTTATGTTGTGTGTGGGGGTGCTGCATTTTTATAAAACATTATTTTTCCTAAAACGTTCTATCACATTATTTTAAATTTTATAATTTTTATTCCTTCAAATCTTTATTTCTAAAATTGGAGGTGGCAATGTGGCAAATGATATGATAATTGAAATGTTTAGTAATGTCTATTGCTGTTATGTTGTGTCAGGTGGTGCAGTATTTTTAATAAAAAATTATTTTTCCTAAAAAGTTATATCACATTATTTTAAGTTTTAGAATTTTTATTCCTTCAAATTTTTATGAGGAACTTAAAGTCATCTCTACTTTAAAATTTAAAAAAACTGTTAACTCTTTTAGTAAATTTTTTCTATAAGGATGTAAGGACCAATACAATATGCCTTTATAGTTCTGCTATATTTTCTCTAGTTATATTTTTACTTTCTTATCTTCTTAGTTCTCATTTTTCTTTTAGGTTATCTGGGATTAAAACCTCCTCTATCAATGTCTCAAATATCTACTATTCTCGGAGAATCATTTAATGATGATAAGCCGTCTAATGAGTTGTCAGTTGAAATAAAAGATTCCCTTACCTTCAACTCTTTTGATGAAGTAGATTTTGATGGTCTTATCGATAATCTGGCATCTCTAAATATTAAAGAAAAGACTTCTGAGGGGATAATGAATAAAAGCTGCTCTTCAGAAGCAGAACAGGAACAAATGCTAAAAAGTAGTGTTATAAATCAGATCAAAGAAAGCAAAAAGGATAAATTTTTTAAATTTCTTCCAACTTTAATAGCTTTTGAAGATGAAAGTGAAAATAAGTAAGTTTTTACAAATCTTTCAAAATGAAATGAAATTGTTTTTATTTCTTGAATTTACAATTTTTATAGTTCTTTCTTCATGTAAATTCAATTACTTTTATGTATTTATATTGGTTTTAGTATCTACTTTGAATATTTTACATGAAGGTATTCCTTAAAGTAGTGTCTCTTATATTTTAAAAATACAAAAATCCGTTTGTGTTCTATTATATTTACAACAACATTTTTAAGATTTTTATATTCTCGCCAAATCAGTCAATACATTTTTGCAGATTTTGCCACAGTTTTTGTATGCTTTTATCACACTATTTCCCTGCCATGTCTTTGAGAAAGCATTTAATTTTATTCTTTACTTTGTTATTGTAACAAAATTTTTTAAAGTCATAGTAGTCAACTTTATGTTTGCCCTAACCATGATAAATACTGACAGACACAATGAAACTCTGTTGAAACTCAGATGTGCATTTCTAACCAATGAAAATGAATGATCAGCAAGACTCTCCACAACATTGCACGTTCATGCATCACCTATCAATCCATGCATACTTTTAATCCTTACAAGTATACATACTTTTGATGTCTCAAAGTTGAAGGGATGGCTTTTGTTTGGATGTGCTTTAAGGAAAAGATCTATTTCATCGGCATTATAAATGTTCTGTGGGGAATAGTCAAGCGGAATTCTTATAGGGAACATCATGGAAAGGCGTGATGAAGGATATGAGAGATTCTTTTGAGAATTCTTTACTTCGGTTTATTCTTTGCTTCGTTTTAAGTATTAAAGTTATAGCAAAAAACGCACGACAACAAATTAGTTTTTTTATAAAATGTCCATATCTCCATAAATATTTAGGCTAGATTTACGAAATTTTGTGCAATTGTTGCATATAATAACTAAAACTGCAGTCACAAGTTACAAACTTATTGCTACATTTTTTTTGATAGGATATTCAGAAACACTTTTTACTGTTTGTAATTTATTATCGGTCCCTCAAACCTCTTAAAAGTTTAAACATCATTGATATATACAAGAAATCGCATACCCTAAACAGTTCTAAATTTATAAAATGATTCTCCAAGTATTTTTTGGGAAAGATCAAAAAATAAGTTAGTACAAATGAATTTTCCATTATTTTGTCAACCCCTTTATATATAGACATTTAGCAGTGTGCTAAATACATGCTAAAAATACAAATATTTAAGATTCACTAAACAATCAACATATTTATAATGTCTAAAGAATAGAGAGCAGTCAATGTCAGAAGCTGAAGACCAAATTTGTATGATTCAAAATGATTAAAAAATTAAAGAAAGCTTAATCACATGTTTATTGAATTGTATATAATAGCCTTTAATATCGTGGTAGGGAACTTATTTTTCATTTCTCTGAGTACAAAGTATTTTGCACTGACATATTATTTTTTTTTTTTTTAGTTTCTAATTTTATTAAATTTGTCTAAATGCATCAGTAAACTTGTTTTCTGACCAAAAATTAAAATATAAACAGCTAAAGAAATATATTTATTTTACATTTTCTTATATAATAATAATTGTTTGATAAAGTTGACATAAAATTCTTGTTCTGATTTTAGTTAATTTTCTAAAATTATAAAGTCATACTGATTTTATAACTGTTAATAAAAAAACCAGACCAATAAATAAAGTACCTAAATTGTTAAAAAAATGTTTGTCTCTTGTCAACTCTATTTTTTAAGAAAAATATTTACGAGGAGCTCATAAAATAATTAGATAACAAAATAATTAAATATTAAATTAAATTTATAACTTCTTTAGCTGTTTGAATCAGTTTGATATTTTTTCTGTAAACGTAAAAATGTGGCACAGTGGCTAATGCACTGAGCTGTTATTCTGAAGGATCCCTCGTGGCCAACCAGCTTCAAATTGATGAGCATCAACAATGCAGACCATATTACAACCAGGCTGCTATTGGTCTTGAAATTATAACCTCCGTGACCCCCTTAGGAAACAACTGGCTGTTACAAAAGCTCTTTACTTTTTTAAACTTTAAACTTTTAAATTTACCAACTCAAACTTATCCTTTAATTTAAATGTTATTTTAACAAAAGCTTCTTTTTAAAAAAGTGAAGTGATTGTTTTTAAAATATGGCCCTAGTTTTATTTAAGTTGTCTTCTTTATTTTAGTATCTTGCATTTGTTTGTTCTTGAGGAAAGTGAAGATGTATCTTTGTTGTTAAAAATGTTGGAATATGCTCCAATCGATCTTCTAAACCAAGTCAACAAAATGCATATGGTACATTCTTTATAATTTTTATTTCTCATTTAAAAGAAACAATTTCAGTTACTTAAGTATGTCAGTGGTACATATCAAAAGCTGCCAAGTTCACATAAATGTGATTTTAGATAAAATGGTTTCCCATTTGATAAAAACCATTAACATTTATTATGACAAGCAGTGATTACCAATTTATATATCAAGTTTCAAAATTGGGCAGTAGTACCATTTAAA